TGGGGTGGGCAGTTTTTGAATAACACGCGTACACGATGGAACTAGAACACATCCCTTACCAAGGATAATCTTGGTAGGAACTTTAATCATATACTGCGAAGTAAAACAAAAATAACCTAAATTCCTCAAGCAGGCACTCACCACTGCCGGAGGGGGCAATATACACACAATGTTCCAGGAAGAAAACTCATTTAGTCAATCTGAGTTTATGAGAAGTTTATTGAAGTCGCGTAGTACGTTTACGGTTGAGTTGATCTAGTTTCTTCACAGCAGCTTGGTTGAAATTATTCGTGTGCGTGTGTGATTTCTTGCGTAACTCATTGAACACGGAACAAATAAAGCCCCAAAAACATGAATGTTTATTGTCAGCTGCTTTGATTCCTGAAAATGGAACACATCAGATCCATTTGATTTCACCGGTCCCCCAAAATTGATGTATTACATTTGTTTTACCACATTTATGTTTCATTTTTGATGCATCAAATAATAAGCAAGTCTCTGTGTCATATTTCTTTTCGCACGGAAATTGTTCAAACAGTTATCCAGAATGCCAGTAAACACACGAGAACACATAAAGAACATTTTATCTAAATATATTTTAGTGTACAAAAACAAGTGACGTTTATTTTCTGTTTGGCTACCCACCTCCCACGCTCTACCTCACACTCTCACTTTATTCAGACTCGTAAATTGGACGGTTCTGTGATTTTTTTGTGCCGATGTTGCGGTTCAAGTTACAAGCACAAAAAATCGCTGAACAAACATTGGAAAGACAAACACGCCGATGTGCCACGACCGCATGGTGCTCAAGCAGATGACGACGAGGATGAGGATGAAGACGACGAGGAGGACGAGGACGAGGAGGAGGAGGGAGGACAAAATGATGACAATTGCGGAGTTAATGATTTGCACGGCTCGGATACGGAAAATATTCCACCGGAAAATATGACTGTGTCCAGACCCGGACAGTCAAACGTGGATAGTAGTGGATTCGGGTTAAGCAGAACGAAAGTTTGTGAACCTACTCAACGTGTGATGCTTACAGAACGGGCCGCCCTTCGCCGACTTTCTGCACCCCCTAGTCGAACAGCAGAGAAATCGTTTCATACGAGACGTGCATCATTTCTTCCCGAGGTTAGTCAGGCGAATCAATCCGGATCACACAAAGCGCATGTGTCCATCAAACGACGTTTCCGCGACACTGTTGATTCCAGTTCCATTCGCTCCACCGTAAATAATCATCGGAATGAGACCACTGCTTACAATTCCCATGAGCCGGTCACTAAACGCCGTCAAAGTGCCATTTATCCGGATGAAACATTTCATTCAACACTTTCAGATGTTCATCAACCAATCTCAAAGGGGCACACGTTCACCACAACTACTTCACAATCGACTGGAATTAGTAAACACGAAGAACGCGATGACAAAATGTCAAACGATCGTCTGCATGGCGCTTCTCTAATCCCAGATACACAACCGTTAGATTTATCGATACTGCGTCCACTAGATTCCCCATATGTTCCACGCGTATCATCCCAGTACGTCGCATCTCCTTCCAAAGTGGATGACATCGATAAAAATGACCAAGCGATTGATGTATCCTTGTTAATTGGTCTCCTGCAGACCGCATTGAATACTCTGACAGCAGAATTCCGCGAAGCTACGAGACGTTCAGCAGAAGGTCCTATCTTCACCAGTTGTTTGTCTAAGACTTCGATAAGTTTACTTTTGGCTATTGGAACGCTTTTAGTTTCTATGGTAGATAAAAAGGATGACAAGTCAAATGCCGAAAGACTGATATCTCCAAATGAACGAACAATGAATAATTTACTTACTGGACCGATCAACACACCTCGTCAGTCTATTCAATCGATTTCTTGTCGTACTCCCCCTAATAACAGTAGTAATAATCCAGTGTTGCCACCCGCTCCAGCGTTGGCATTAGTCTCCCCAGCCATCGAAACACATTCGTTTCAACCGGATGAATATAAACCCAATTTGGATAGTGTTCACAGATCTTTGTCAGCACAACCAGACACAGTCAGAACTCCACCAACTCGATCGATTGATCATACAGAAGTATCTCAGAACACCACACCTAAGGCCTATGATCGTATGATTCCGTGCAGTTTAGGCAGTTACGCACCAATGGAGAACAATTTGATCCTCAGCCAGACATTCACTCCCATCCGCCATTCCCGTGTCCATACCAAATCCTCCTCTATGGTCAATACTTCCCGTACTTCATCAACAGAAGGTACTACGACTACTACTCCTCCTACAAATAGGACACCACGACAAAGTGACGATCCAAGGTCCACTGGGGAATCACAGTCAGAATGTCAAATAATTTGTCCAGTGTGTAATTTCGATGCTCGGTGGTTTAGCGAACTTCGGGCACATATGGTCAATCATTCAGAGCATCGAATGTTCGGCTGTTGTTTTTGTACCTATAGGGCCAAATGGAAATGGGATGTAGCTAAACACATGCGTCGTTGCCCTCTTGGACGGCACGTGGCTCACCTATCCAACGAGGCCCTCCTCCGTATTGTCCGTTATCATCCTCCACCCAAAGGGAATATCCTTTATAACTATTTTCCTCAAGATGGATTTCCTGGAGTTGGCTTGGATCGACCACCAACACCACCGAATGCCGGTCCAGCAGACTTCATTACTCCCGGGGAGGGGTGAACAACTCGCTTTCCGATTCACAACGGTTCCGACACATACCGGCCACGGCACAGACACGGAACACTCGCCCGCAGAAGATCCACCGCTTCTTGTTCGACAAAGATCTATGACACCAGAATCGGAACCGGTGACCGATGCGGATGCAGATCACAGCCCTCAGCCGTTGATTATCGTAGATGAAGTCGATTCGACCGGGCCACGATCATCCAATATAGAAATCGGACCAGATTCCAAAAAGAATGTCCTGTTCAGACCGCACATGATGGATGCCCATGATAGTTCAGAAGTGAGTTAATACCGCTTGATACGTTGTCCATATTGATATTCTAGTTGAACCGTATTAGACTCTACCTCTCACATATTTTTACTTTCAAGAGAGTAGCTCCTATGTGAGTATGTTAGTTTTATCAATGGTAAATCAAAGAATCTTGGTTGTGTAGTGCGTAGTGATATCCATAATATCACTTGAAGATGTACAGTAGACGTTGCTTACATCAATGTCAGATGTGAGGTAACAGAGGGGTTGTAACTGTCTTGTATGTGAGTGGGTCATATTAGTGTATATCACTTTCCACTAACATGTATAGCATTCTTTTGTCGAGTAATCGCCTGCCATGCAAAGACCGACTACGTCTTCAAAAGATAATCACTTCTTTTGCGTGATTGTTTCCTCAATGAATTGCTGTCCACTTATTTCTGGTTATTCATCTGCAATCTGGAAAGATGCATCCAGTAGCGTCCAAGTCCACTATCCGTCAACTTGTAGTGGCCTACAAGAGCCTAGCTCAAAGTGATGCATAAGTAAAAATTCCTTTGGAATAGACTATACTACAAGGCAAAGTATTGCACTAAATTAGGTGACCGTAAACACACTGATGGATCGAGCAGTCGATGTTGCACTGAAACACCTATGGCGTTGACGTGATGTTTCATCGAAGTAGAAAGTTCGAATATATTGTGCCACTTTGCGGTCAGCTTTGCTCACTATATTCGGTGGTGTAATACTGAAGGCACCGAAACAGGCGGTCTTCATGAGAACCAAAAGCTCCTAAACAGGCGAATCAGGCGATCAAATACATTTTTGTTCCAAAGATCGAATAGAAAGCAGAACAACAGATTTGGCCGAGGATAGATTAGATATAGTTCATTTCTGTGTGATTGGTGTAATTTCTGTTAATTGTAGGTCAAAAAGGATGGCAGTATTTCAGGCAAAATCAGCGCATCTCGAAGTACTATCATGGTAATATGAGTGAGAAATCACACGACTAGTTATTGAACCCAGCCGCAAGCTTCGTGTCGAGGGAATAAGTTGTAGGATCAATGTCTCACTTTTCAATGGTATGAACAATAATGTTTTTGCTAATATCGAGTCGCATATCTACGGTAACCTACAGAACAACTACATATGTGGGCGGGTGAACTACTCATCGTTTTAACCACCTCGTTCAGACTGGCGTGATAACGGGGTAATTTCTTTTTTGATCACCAGCGGCATAGCTGAACATGGCTACATTGGATGGGGTCAGAGATAAGATCTATCGAGATGTCCATTTGATTCAGACAGTTAGCAGTTATTCTAGCAGTTAGAACAGATTTTACCTGCGTGTAGTTTTTATCTGATTTACCTTGGAAGAAGGGAATCACAACAGTTGAACAGATAGACTCCTTACCTATGCGCGCCTGTGTGTGTGTGATGAAGGAGCATCAGTGTCCAATCCTCGTGGGTCTTAGTGACCGCTTCTATTCATCAATGCAGTACTTTGGTTCAGTCATGAGTTTGCGATAGTCTGAAGTCCCATTTTACTCACGGATTCAGCATAGTTCTGGGTGCTCACAAATGTGTCTGACCGGATTCCGCGATTCCCAACACGTCCAAACAAGTTGAACTGGAAAATTTCTGCTTCTCACCCTGCTAGATGATTCCTCCCACAATCCGATTCCGGAGACTGATAAAAATCTCCCTTGAGGTTAAGGTGACGATGGTTTCAGTGTACAGGTCACTGGGATAAAAAAATACGATTGCTATCCGGACGCTGAAATGTACCGAGCGAGATTGTTTGAGCTGTGTTGAGACCAGACAATAATTGATGAAAACATGCACACACACATGAACCATATCTGCTCCACTGTCCTGGGTCATTTAGTCCAAGTTGATGGGCCACACCTCGTCCTACTGTATTCAGTATTCTTCAGGTCATGATAAACTGTTATTCTTCACGATACACACACACATACCCTCAAGTACCGCCTTTAGCTTTTGCCGAATACAGAGCAAAGTTGAGAAGTGTTGTGTAGCTGACCAAACCTGATTGGATCTCAACAGTGCACTGACCTACCGGTGATTTGAACCCGGGACTACATAGGTAGAATGAAAGTATAATACTCACCATAGGAGAGAAGTGCATCCTATAATCGAATCAAATCATCCGTCAATAAATGCGATATAACTGGTCATAAGATAATAAGTAGACCAAACAATACTGGATTCGACTCCATGAAAACTTGAGATGAACGCTGAACACTTGCGGATCTGATAAGTGAATTTGTGTTTAAGATGAAGTGTGGTTGTGACAATGTACAATTCGACAGGAATTTTAGACAAAAACCGAGCAGATTCCATAACTGGAATTCATCCTGGTTGCACGGCACATGGAAAAACTATCCGGTATTGAATCGGGAGGGGTCAAAAGTTGTCGTTTAATACGAAACTTCTCTTAACATGCTCCACATTTTCTAATCCAACATAGTAACGCTTCTCATGTTTTACCATTCCAGTTGCATCAATCCGGTTTGGTCTTCAAACTCAAAAAGTGTACATATTGCACATTCCATTCGATAGACGAACGTGAGTATCAGCAACATGTGCAAACACATCGTCAACTGGCGTCAACCGCCACTGCGAACACTGATTTTTCGTCCACTGTTTTGAACGGGACATCTTCAAACGGATCCACTCGTCAGACGACTTAGATACACACAAACACACACACAAATGAGCAACACGCCTGTGCCCGTATTGTTTTTCGCCACTGACATGACGTACTTTCAGTTTTTTCTACAACAGTCTAATATGCTTGACTTTTACCGTCCCACTGCAATCCCCCCTCATTTTCAGTTGATTCATCGCTCGTATTTAACAAACAAAATTACGTCCGAGAAACACGCCTTATTTCTTTTCTGACCCTCATTCGGAGATGAAAGACTCATCATTCCAAAAAATAACTTTTGGTTATTTAGAATTATGACCGGTTCAGACTAACTGTAAGCTAACGTTGGCGTGGATCAGTACAAAATTGTAGAGCCAACTGAACTACCTGCGTTGAGTCTGATCACGCACTAGGTCTGATGTGCTTCACGCTTCGACTCATCGGTCATCGTAAAAAAACTCGCTTCCTCGCCTGCGCGATCCGTCTGTTTGCGCACGTTATGAAGAGAAGCCTGAGCAGGAGCTAGGAGCACCGCGAAGTAGTAGAGTAGAACCACAGTGCGACCAAATCGACGCACAATGCATTCAGCAGCAAACTTTGCTTGTGAGATCGAGACCGCAGTTCGCCGAAGACACTGGATCTCTCAGAATTCAGTTACCCTCACGGAACGATAGCAAAAGATCTCACTCTACCACGATCAGCGTAGAAACCGGCGCCGTCTGCAGAGACAGCTCAGGAAAAGTCTCAAGAAAGACCGCGAAAACTAGTGGGCTAAAACAGCCAGTAAAGTGCAGGTAGCTTGTGAATCAGGGAGAAGTCAAGGACTGTTTCACCGGAGGTCGTTGCATACCGGTCAATGAGACCATTTGCAATAAAAGTAGACAGGGTATCCACAATAAAGAAAAACTACTTGATCGATGGACAGGGTATTTTGGTGAATAGTTCAATTGGCCTGGTGCTACCTCAGTTATTCCGGTAATTGCAACGGAAACTACATGGTTGGTAACATGTGAGCCTCCAACAGAATTAGAAGTACGAAGCTGCATTCAAAGGTTAAAGAAAGGAAAGGCTGCGGTACCTGCTGAACTTCTCCCCATTCTTTTCAATCTGGAGGTTGACTCTCGTCAACTTGAATACAAGCTTACTTCGCAGCATCTGGTTGAAGGAGTGTATCGCTTTATCTTGGGCTGAATCGTTGATCGATCTGATCTTCAAGAAGGGACCCCAGAACGATAGCGCTAACCACCGCGGTTTTACTTTATTTCCGATCATCGTAAAAATGTTAAATTCTGTGATACTCAGCTTCCTGACCTTTAAGGGAGATGAACATTCACAAAGGGAAAGCTGGATTCCTACCGGATCGCGATTGCGTCGGCCAAATCTCCACTCTGCTTCAATTTCTAGCATTGCGCCACACACATCGTCAATCAACCATTGCAGTGTTCCTTAACCTGAAAGAAGCCTTTGTTTCAGTTGACGGCGAATTCCCAATGGGTGCAGTGCTTCGCAAAGGAATGCCGCTGAAGTATGCAAACCTGCTGTGATCACTGCACCTACATACTTCAGGTAGCGTAGGCTCAGAGCTAAGCAAATCGTTCGAAACCGGGAGCGGTGTTCGTCAAGGGTGCCTTATTTTGCCATTCTTATTCAATTTTGTAGACCAAATACTGGATAACGAACTTAGTAGTCTCCAAAATGTTGGCATTGAATGGGCAGCTGGAGAAAATCTGTAAGATTTAGAGTATGTCGACTACATCGTTGGTCTGTTCAAATGAATGGAATATGCGCAAAGCGCTCTTGACAAACTTTCAAATTATTTAACTCCATTTGGTATGCACTTTACACCTTCAAAGTACAAAGTGATGCTAGAAGATTGGGTGTCATCTTATGCTTGGTGGTTAAGACTCATTTATAGTGAATTGTTTCTCCTACTTAGGTAGTTGCTTGAAAAATGGCGTTAGCATAGCCACTGAAGTAATCACCCGCATCTCCAAGGATAGAGCTGTTAGAGAGACTGAAACAACTTTGGTGCAGATACGATCTTTCGCCAAAACTGGAAGGTCGCCTCTACTGCGTCAGTTCTGCTTTACGGTTGCAAAACCCTAAATTTGCGCGTGGAAGATATCCATCATCTAGAAGTCTTCAATTGCCGTTATTTACGTAGTTTGGCACAGGTTGGATGGAACAAGCGTGCAATCAACTCTGAGGTAAACCGTCGCGTACTGGATAGTGATTCAGTGGAAACTTTGCTGTCACATCGAATTCAGAATACTAGGCTTCGCTGACTGAGACACGTATTGTGCATGCCCAGCTGTCGTCTACCGCACTGCGCTTTATTTGCAGTTGCTGCTCCCGGTTGGAGTAAACGATGTGGAGGTCAACAGATGACTTGGAAACGACGTATGCAGAAGTACACAGAGCGATTGGGTAGATCAGGTGTCTCCCGTCTCTCAGGTTGGCGTCCTAAAGACTGCAACTGGTTAGTTGGAGACACTGAAGGATGTGGCAGCTAACCGGTAGCAGTGTCATCCTGATCATTTCCTATCAGGTTAGAATGTTTTAAGTGGTGTGTATGCACAGTTAGGTTGCTCATTCAGTGTTGACCATAGAGGCCCACTTTCTTTGCCTATCTCCAATTTTGTTCAAACCCTATCCATCCTGTACTTTCTCATTTACTTTGTGTTTATTGAGAGCATGGCAGCGATCGGTGAAGTTCATCTCTCTGTATCTCGCTATGCGATCGTGATGAGGATGATATTACACCTTTTGTGTTTGTTTCCGATACTTTTATCGTTTGTACAAATGACTATTTCGTTTTCTTGTTGAGCTGCCTCTAAATAGGACACAGTTTCCGGAGGGTTGCACCGAAATAATATTAGGCTTTTGGGATACGAATCTGTCGGGTTCAAACAATTTGTCAAACCGATTAACTTCTCACGTAATTCTGCTGGAAAAACTACAAACTATCGTGTACTGAAGTCAATTGTCACGTAACGCGTACGCGCTATCAACTTATCTGTCACTTTTATGTTTCCTGAGCACACTGTGCATAATTTTATTTTCGTGAGTTGTCTGTGATCATCTTTCTCCCGCAATATCTTTCCTGGTGAGTTGACGAATTTAAACCAACATATGCACTCAGTTACAAGGTATGTTAGTGTATGGAAATTATAAATGATTTTCTACGGTGATTTGCGAATAAATCAAAAAAGGGAATATGCGAACTTGAGCCATGCATTAATTTCATTACGTTCGCTATCGAAGATCGTGTTTGTGGTTCTCCTAGCCTATGCTTAGTAACATTATTCCAAACACTGGGCATTTAGATCACATTCAATTTGCTTATCGCAAACAACGCTCTACCTTAGACGCCCTTGCGCATCTGGTTAACTCAGTTTTGCGATCCATAGACATACACGGCACAGCATTTCGTGCGTATTTTCTCGGCTATAGTAATGCTTTTAATTGTGTTGGCAGAGGCAGGCTTTTCTCTGTACTCCAGCGTGCTGGATTGTCCCATACTACCTTATTTCTACTCCAAGATTATTTTCCCGGTAGAAGTTTCTTGGAAAAAAATTGATTCGCTACCGGTCAATACAGGGATGCGCCAGGGAGCAACACTGTTTCGTTTTGTTTTCTCTTTCTATATTCGAGACCTACCCACTGACCCAGATGATCCTCTTATCAAGTATGCTGATTATTTCACTAAAGGTTCCAAATTCCTAGGCGAATTGCGTTTCTCATAGCTTCAAACCAGTTTATCTTCGTATTACCAATTATCTCTCAATACCTCTAAATGTAGGGATGTCACCTTCTCATTAACCAAAGGAGAACGGCTAAATTCTTTTG